GCTGACTAGTAACTGACTAGTATCTGATACAACCTAGCTGACTAGTAGCTGATACAACCTAGCTGACTAGTAGCTGATACAACCTAGCTGACTAGTAGCTGATACAACCTAGCTGACTAGTAGCTGATACAACCTAGCTGACTAGTAGCTGATACAACCTAGCTGACGAGTAGCTGATACAACCTAGCTGACTAGTAGCAGATACAATCTAGCTGACTAGTAGATGATACAATCTAGCTGACTAGTTGCTGATACACCCTAGCTGACTAGTAACTGACTAGTAGCTGATACAACCTAGCTGACTAGTAACTGACTAGTAGCTGATACAACCTAGCTGACTAGTAAATGCTGAATACAACCTAGCTGACTAGTAGCTGATACAACAACAGCTGACTAGTAGCTGATACAACCTAGCTGACTAGTAGTGATACCAACCTAGCTGACTAGTAGCTGGATACACCTAGCTGACTGTATCTGATACAACCTAGCTGACTAGTAGCTGAACACCCTAGCTGACTAGTAGCTGATACAACCTAGCTGACTAGTAGCTGATACACCTAGCTGACTAGTAGCTGATACACTAGCTGCAGTAGCTGATACAACCTAGCTGACTAGTAGCTGATACAATCTAGCTGACTAGTAGCTGATACAACCTAGCTGACTAGTAGCTGATACAACCTAGCTGACTAGTAGCAGATACAACCTAGCTGACTAGTAGCTGAATTGTACAACCTAGCTGACTAGTAGCTGATACAACCTAGCTGACTAGTAGCTGATAAGCGAACACAGCTGATCTAGGAGCTGATAACAACCCCAGCTGACTAGTAGCTGATACAACTAGCTGACAGTAGCTGATAAACCTAGCTGACTAGTAGCTGATACAATCTAGCTGACTAGTAGCTGATACAACCTAGCTGACTAGTAGCTGATACAACCTAGCTGACTAGTAGCTGATACAAACCTTAGCTGACTAGTAGCTGATACAACCAGCGACTTAATGCTAGTAGCTGATACAACCTAGCTGACTAGTAGACTGATACAACCTAGCTGACTATACTGATAAACCTAGCTAGTACAAGATGACTAGTAACACTAGCTGACATAGCGACACAACTAGCTGACTAGTAGCTGATAAAACCTGCTGACAGTAGCTGATCAACCTAGCTGACTAGTAGCTGACACAACCTAGCTGACAGTAGCGACACAACCTAGTTGACTAGTAGCTGATACAACCTAGCTGACTAGTAGCTGATGCTGAACCTAGCTGAACTAGTAGCTGAACAACCTAGTGACTATAGGACTGACACAACCTAGCTGACTAGTAGCTGATACACCTACTGACAGTACGACTAGTTGACTAGTACTGATACAACCTAGCTGACTAGTAGCTGAGCAAACCTAGCGACTAGTAGCTGCAAACCTAGCTGACATAAGCTGAAAACAACCTAGCTGACTAGTAAGCTGATACAACCTAGCTGACTAGTATCTGAAAAACCTAGCTGACTAGTAGCTGACAAACTAGCGCTGAACTAAGTAGCTGATACAACCTAGCTGACTAGTAGCTGACAACCTAGCTGATACTAGCCTGAACATACCTAGCTGACTAGTTTCTGAACATGCAAAGCTGAATACTGCGTAGCTGACTAGTAGCTGATACAACCTAGCTGACTAGTAGCTGATACAACCTAGCTGACTAGTAGCTGATACAAACCTTTGCTGACCCAGTTAAATCTGACTATAGCTGTACAACCTAGCTGACTAGTAACTGACTAGTAGCTGATACAACCAGCTGCTAGTAACTGACTAGTAGCTGATACAACCTAGCTGACTAGTAGCTGATACAACCTAGCTGACTAGTAACTGACTAGTAGCTGATACAACCAGCTAGTCTGACTAGTAGCTGATACAACCTAGCTGACTAGTAGCTGATACAACCCAGCTGACTAGTAACTACTAGTAGCTGATACAACCAAGCTGACTAGTAACTGACTATAGCTGATACAACCTACTTTGTAACTGACTAGTAGCTGATACAACCACGATAGTATGTAACCCGACTAGTAGCTGATACAACCTAGCTGACTAGTAGCTGATACAACCTAGCTGACTAGTAACTGACTAGTAGCTGATACAACCAAGCTGACTAGTACGACTAATAGTGACACCAGCTGACATAACTGACTAGTAGCTGATACAACCTAGTGACTAGTACTGATCAGACCTAGCTGACTACCTAAAACCTAGTCTGACTAGTAGCTGATACAACCTAGCTGACTAAGCGATAAACCCAGCTGCTAGTAGCTGATACAACCTAGCTGACTAGTAGCTGACTAGTAGCTATACAACTACTGACTAGTAGCTGATACAACCTAGCTGACTAGTAACTGACTAGTAGCTGATACAACCTAGCTGACTAGTAACTGACTAGTAGCTGATACAACCAAGCTACTAGTAACTGACTAGTAGCTGATACAACCTAGCTGACTAGTAGCTTTATACAACCTAGCTGACTAGTAGCTGATACAACCTAGCTGACTAGTAGCTGATCACCTCCCGACTAGTCTGACTAGTTGCTGAACAACCTAGCTGACTAGTAGTGATACACCTAGCTGACTAGTAGCTGATACAACCTAGCTGACTAGTGTAACACCTAGTGACTAGTGGATACAACTAGTTGACTAGTAGCTGACTAGTAGAGCTGATACAACCTAGCTGACTAGTAACTTTACTAGTAGCTGATACAACCAACGCTGAAAGTACAAACTGACTAGTAGCTGATACAACCTAGCTGACTAGTAGCTGATACAAACCTAGCTGAATAGTAACTGACTAGTAGCTGATACAACCTAGCTGACTAGTATCTGATACAACCACTGACTACTAGACTGATACAACCTAGCTGACTAGTGCTGTCAACCTAGCTGACTAGTAGCTGATACAACCTAGCTGAAGTAGCGATCCCTAGCTGACTAGTTTGCTGATACCAACCTAGCTGACTAGTAAGCTGCACTAGCTGATACACCTAGCTGACTAGTACTGATACACCCCAGCTGACTAGTAGCTGATAGACAACACCTAGCTGACTAGTAACTGACTATAGCTATACAACCTAAGACTGACTAGTAGCTGATAAACCTAGCTGACTATAGCTGATACAACCAGTGCCTAGTAGCTGATACAACCAAGCTGACCTAGTAGCTGATACAACCACTGACTAGTAAATCTAGCTGAACAATACACTAGCTGACTAGTAACTGGACTAGTAGCTGACAACCTAGCTGACGCTAGCTGATACACCTCTGACTAGTAGCTGATACGACCAAGTCTTTAACTAGCTGAAAAACCTAGCTGACTAGTAGCGATACAACCTAGCTGACTAGTAGCTGATACAACCTAGCTGACTATAGCTGAACAACCTAGCTGACTAGTTTCTGACTACACCTAGCTGACTAGTACTGACAACTCGACTAGTAGCTGATACAACCTAGCTGACTAGTAGCTGAACACCCTTAGCTGCCCAGTAGCTGATACAACCTAGCTGACTATAGCTGAACAACCCAGTGATAGCTGACACAACCTAGCTGACTAGTAGCTGACACAACCTAGCTGAAGTAGCTGACCAAGCTGATTAGCTATCAACCTAGCTGACTAGTAGCTGACCAACCTAGCTGACTAGTAGCTGACCCTAGTAGGCTGATACAACCTAGCTGACTAGTAGCTGATACAACCTAGCTGACTAGTAGCTGATACAACCTAGCTGATGGACTAGTAGCTGTACAATTACTGACTAGTAGCTGATAACCACCAACTGACTATTAACTGACTAGTAGCTGATACAACCTAGCTGACTAGTAGCTGACTACTAGCAGATACAAACTAGCTGAAACAGCAATAAACCTAGCTGACAAGTATCTGACTAGTATCTGACTAGTATCTGACAAGTAGCTGACAAGTAGCTGACAAGTAGCTGACTAGTAGCTGATACAATCTAGTTGACTAGTAGCTGATACCAACCGAGCCTGAACTAGTAGCTGACACAACCTAGCTGACTAGTAGCTGACACAACCTAGCTGACTAGTAGCTGATACAACCTAGCTGAGTAGTAGCTGATGCAACCTAGCTGACTAGTAGCTGACACAACCTAGCTGACTAGTAGCTGACACAACCTAGTTGACTAGTAGCTGATACAACCTAGCTGACTAGTAACTGATACAACCTAGCTGACTAGCAGCTGATACAACCTAGCTGACTAGTAGCTGATGGAATTATGGAAAGTAACTTCTCACCATCATACGTCTAGCTAGCTAGGCAACCAGATAGCCTTCTCATGGTTGCGTAATTCAAAACAAAGCCTCATTCACATATCTTGCTAGTTATGAGGATGGAGACATTGGTTAGCATGCTAATAGCTAACAATCAGCTAGCTTCCTAAACAGTTAGCATTACTAGTGTCTGTTAGCCAAAATAAATGAGTATCTAGCAATCAGTTAGCTACCTAAACAATTAGCAATACTACATTTACATTTACGTCATTTAGCAGACGCTCTTATCCAGAGCGACTTACAAATTGGTGCATTCACCTTATAGCCAGTGGGATAACCACTTTACAATATGTATTTTTTATTTTTTATTGTTTTTGGGGGTGGGGTAAGGGGGGGTAGAAGGATTACTTTATCCTATCCCAGGTATTCCTTAAAGAGGTGGGGTTTCAAGTGTCTCTGGAAGTGAATACTAGAAGCTAACAATCAGCTAGCTACCTAAACAAGGCATTGCTTTTAGCTAACAATGTGTTATCCTCTGGGATTTCATTGTACTTTTAAATTGTGTTAAACTGTACTAACCATTTACCAGAAAATCAATGAATAGATGTTTTCATTTTTAAAAAGGAGCATTGGAGAGATAGCTTAACACACACATCCCTAAACCCTTGTCCAGAGTTAGATTATTATATATATATTATATATTACCTCCTTGTCCAGAGTTAGATTATTATATATTACCTCCTTGTCTCTCTCCAGCTGCAGACCCTGCTCCAACAGCCCAGACTCAAACTCCTCCCTCATCATAGCTTTCTCTTCCTCACTCAGGTGAGACTCCTCCCCCTCTTGCAGCCCCACCTCCAGCTCAGGCTGCGAATCACGTCTCAGCGCACTGGGCAGTGGAAGGCTCCCATTGGAGGCTTGAGAGGTGAGGGAGAGGCGATGCTGGGAGATCCTCCTCTTTTTATAGTGATAGCACAGAATATAGTCCACCTTCCTCTGGCCGTCTGCAAAGAACGTCCCTTTACCAAGCTCTATGGACGGCTCCTGCACACACACAACCAAATGAGGTTTTCTTGGGCTAGGGTTAGGGTTAGGGGTGAGAGGGCAGTGTTTGGGTGGCAAGACAGAGTGCTGGTAGCCTGTTCCCAGATCTGGTTCTGCGCTCTTGCCAACTCCTTGTCACTAATGTCACTCCAAACATGTTTGGTATGGCAATTACATAACGAGTTGTCAAGAGAGCAGAACCAGATCTGAGACCAGACTAGAGAGTAGAACCAGATCTGAGACCAGACTAGAGAGTAGAACCAGATCTGGGACAAAACTAGAGAGTAGAACCAGATCTGGGACCACACTAGACAGTAGAACCAGATCTGGGACCAGACTAGACATTAGAACCAGATCTGGGACCAGACTAGACAGTAGAACCAGATCTGGGACCACACTAGAGAGTAGAACCAGATCAGGGACCAGACTAGACAGTAGAACCAGATCTGGGACCACACTAGAGAGTAGAACCAGATCTGGGAACAGACTAGAGAGTAGAACCAGATCTGGGACCAGACTAGACAGTAGAACCAGATCTGGGACCAGACTAGACAGTAGAACCAGATCTGGGACCACACTAGAGAGTAGAACCAGATCTGGGACCACACTAGACAGTAGAACCAGATCTGGGACCACACTAGACAGTAGAACGAGATCTGGGACCAGACTAGACAGTAGAACCAGATCTGGGACCAGACTAGACAGTAGAACCAGATCTGGGACCACACTAGAGAGTAGAACCAGATCTGGGACCAGACTAGACAGTAGAACCAGATCTGGGACCAGACTAGACAGTAGAACCAGATCTGGGACCACACTAGACAGTAGAACCAGATCTGGGACCAGACTAGACAGTAGAACCAGATCTGGGACCAGACTTCACAGTAGAACCAGATCTGGGACCAGACTAGACAGTAGAACCAGATCTGGGACCAGACTATAGAGTAGAACCAGATCTGGGACCAGACTAGACAGTAGAACCAGATCTGGGACCAGACTAGAGAGTAGAACCAGATCTGGGACCAGACTAGAGAGTAGAACGAGATCTGGGACCAGACTAGACAGTAGAACCAGATCTGGGACCACACTAGAGAGTAGAACCAGATCTGGGACCAGACTAGACAGTAGAACCAGATCTGGGACCACACTAGAGAGTAGAACCAGATCTGGGACCAGACTAGACAGTAGAACCAGATCTGGGACCAGACTAGAGAGTAGAACCAGATCTGGGACCAGACTAGACAGTAGAACCAGATCTGGGACCAGACTAGACAGTAGAATCAGATCTGGGACCACACTAGAGAGTAGAACCAGATCTTGGACCACACTAGACAGTAGAACCAGATCTGGAACCAGACTAGACAGTAGAACCAGATCTGGGACCAGACTAGACAGTAGAACCAGATCTGGGACCACACTAGAGAGTAGAACCAGGTCTGGGACCAGACTAGACAGTAGAACCAGATCTGGGACCACACTAGAACAGAACCTAAAAGATAAAAGATAACAGTACACCTGTTTCAATAATAGCTGAATGATAACTGTACAGACTATGACTAAGGCTGTGTCTGAAAAAGTTATCAGCCGTCAAATCCTTGTATCCTCTGTCCTGGTTTCCTCCAATTCCTCCCTCTCGATGCGCATTTGAGGAGAGGATACAAGGACTCTCCAATAAACCTCCACTTCTAATTAGCTTTGAGAGGGAGATGAGGAAACAAGGACAGAGGAAACAAGTAACGGTTAGTAACATCTTCAGAAAAAACAGATGGCTAGCATTTAGTAAAACATCAATGGAATCTTTCCTAACAGAAGATACATGTCAGAGGTCAAGGGTTAGAGATCAGGGGTTAGATGTTAGAGGTCAGGGACTAGAGGTTAAAGGTCAGGGGTTAAAGGTCGTACCGTGGTAGGCTGCTTCGCGCTGCCCGGGGGATTTCCGTTATCCAATCCCATCTCAGAGAGCGAGCGAGCCAAAGAGCGAAGCTTCTCAGATTGGACAGATGATGACTCACCCATCGCCGTGGCAACACGCATACGCTCCGTGCCGTTCCACGCCTCTGTCAGGGTGACACACACACACACACACAAACAGTTGAAGGACAGCCAATATCTGAACTGTTGTTTTTGTTATCCATCCCTGTGTCTCAGTTGGGACCGAAATCCTGCTCTCTCATGCATAGAAACACATCTTTACCATTAGGCCAAGTGGAGAAACCAATGTATTTACCATTAGGCCAATTGGAAATTGCATCTTGGGAAAAGGGTGACCCTGGGTGTTTCCCAAAATGCATACTACCTTGTGTCGAGCATGCAAATTGAAGCATGGGCAAGACATTTCCTTGCTTTCGAAATAAAATGTTTGTTTTTTCCTCCATTAAAATAACATCAAATTGATCAGAAATACAGTGTAGACATTGTTAATGTTGGGAATGGCTATTGTAGCTGGAAACTGCGATTTTTAATGGAATATCTACATAGGCGTACAGAGGCCCATTATCAGCAACCATCAGTCCTGTGTTCCAATGGCACATTGTGTTTGCTAATCAAAGTTTATAATTTTAAAAGGCTAATTGAAAACCCTATTGCAATTATGTTAGCACAGCTGAAAACTGTTGTGCTGATTAAAGAAGCAATAAAACTGGCCTTCTTGAGACTAGTTGAGTATCTGGAGCATCAGCAATTGTGGGTTCGATTACAGGCTCAAAATGGCCATAAACAAATAACTTTCTTCTGAAACTCGTCAGTCTATTCTTGTTCTGAGAAACTGAAGATCTCGTACAACGCTGTGTACTACTCCCTTCACAGTACAGCTCAAACTGGCTCTAACCAGAATAGAAAGAGGAGTGGGAGGCCCCGGTGCACAACTGAGCAAGAGGACAAATACATTAGAGTGTCTAGTTTGAGAAACAGGTGCCTCACAGGTCCTCAACTTTACTTGGAGCTAACCCTGCAGATAGCACTACTGGGTGATCTGAAAAGTCATAGGCAATCGATCAATAATATAATAATACTTTTAGCAAAAATGTTTATTTTCAATTTACAATCTGTAGAAACAATGTAAAAAGAAGGGTTCAGAACTTTTGTGAAACATCACAGTACAGTTGAGAAATACATGGTGTAGTGGCTTCCTTTCCTCTTTACCATAGCCACTGCCCTAGCCTGAAGCGGGGTTGTTTCGGACGCATACAGTCCACACTCAACGTTTCCAAACGGCCAAACATTCAATGAGATCCAGGGTTGTAGTGCAACAAAAATGTTTATTCTTCTTATCTAACAAAAAGGTATTCTCCAATCAACTTAAAGCAGAGATTACTTGAAATGCAAATACATAATATCATATGACCTGTCTGTCTGTATTTCTGTATGTCTATATGGTCAAAAAACTATACCGCTCCCGCATCTAGCAAGGACTCCTCCCCCCGAAGGCCCAACTTCCTGCCTTTATACTAACACAATTAACACAGTACAATGAATGGGCAAGAGGGGGGGCCAAAAAACTAAGTTACACTAATAACAAATGAATATATCTCAATCCGGTAAATAAATCATAAAGGTACGTACCTAATATTTCATCATATACATTAATATTTAATATATTTACACAAATGTACATGGAGCTCAGTATGTTCAGTCTTTTATACAAAATATGCCCAAATCGGCTCTAACACATGGCAAAAAGAAATCTAATATGGATGGTGTTAAGAGATAGATGGGAGGTGTTGAATGGAGCTGAAGGATGGGACTAATAACAACTAACAACAACTAATAACAGCAAGATAACTAATGTAGGGCATGCTGTGTCCATAATGAGTATATAGGTTATAGGTTGAGAGCTTTTGTGAAGGAGCACAGTTGGAGAGATATGGCATATAGAAGCAAACCGGATGGACATCATGAAAATTATCGGAGAGGTTGAGGGTAGAGGAAGTTCAGTATGTATAAGCTGTAAGTAGAGGCCTAAGCATTGTTGTTCACTAGTTTACTCCAATTATGGAAGGGGTGGTGGGGTTGGAAAGTAATAAAGGGAAATATATATTTTTAAAGGATATGTATATATATGTATGTATATGTATTTATATATATGTATATATATGTATTTATATATATGTGGTCCTCTGTAGCTCAGCTGGTAGAGCACGTCGCTTGTAACGCCAAGGGTAGTGGGTTCGATCCCCGGGACCACCCATACACAAAAAAGTATGCACACATGACTGTAAGTCACTTTGGATAAAAGCATCTGCTAAATGGCATATTATTGTTATGTATATATATATATTTGCGAGAGAAAAAAAACATGGGGGATTGGAAGTGATGCAGACAATTACATTGATGGAAGTTACAATCTATCTGCAATATTAAAGCTGATCTACCCCCCCCCCCCCCCCCCCCCCCCCAACCTAACCCTAACCCCCCCCAAACCCTAACCCTAACCCTAACCCCTAAGAAAATATACAAAATAAACAGGAAAACAGCTCTAACTCACAAAGAAACCAGTTCAAAATCCAGCTGACTCTATCCACCAATCAGCCAGCTTTTAATTCTGTCCAACCAACAGGTAACCAGCTCTGACTCTAACCGACCAACAGGAAACCAGCCAGGTTTAACTCTAACCACCCAACAGGAAACCAGTTGAGCAGCTCTAATCGAATAACACCTGTGATTGCATTATGCCTCTCTCCCATGTCAATATGCCTAGCCTATTGCTGTTTGGGTTAGTTCTTATTATACCATTTCACTGTAGAGCCCAGAGTTCAGCTCAACCAGCCTCAGAGAGCTCCTTTGTCCCACCCCCCATACAAGCGGAGACCGACTCAATCGGTGCCTCCAGTGATGCTATCTCTTTCATTGTTACCCAACGCTTAGGTTTACCTCCACTGTACTCATATCCTTCCATATCCTTGTCTGTACATAATGCCCTGAATCTTTTCTTCAACGCCCGGAAACCTGCCCCCTTTATTCTATGTACCCAACGCACTAGAAGACCAGTTCTTAAAGCCTTTAGCCGTATCCTTATTCTAGTCCTCCTCTGTTCCTCTGGTGATGTAGAGGTTAACCCAGGCCCTGTAGCCCCCAGCATCACTCCTACCCCCCAGGCGCTATCATTTGTTGACTTCTGTAACCATAAAAGCCTTGGTTTCTTGCATGTTAACATCAGACGTCTCCTCCCCAATTTTGAGTTATTCACTGCGTTAGCACACTCTGCCAACCTTGATGTTCTAGCAGTGTCTGAATCTTGGCTTAGGAAGGCCACAAAAAATTCAGAAATGTCCATTCTGAACTACAACATTTTCCTACTAGATAGAACTGCCAAAGGGGGCGGAGTTGTAATATACTGTAGAGATAGCCTGCAGAGCTCTATCATACTATCCAGGTCTGTGCCCAAACAGTTTGAGCTTCTACTTCTAAAAATCCACCTTTCTAGAAATAAGTCTCTCACTGTTGCCACTTGCTACAGACCCCCCTCAGCCCCCAGTTGTGCCCTGGACACCCTATGTGAATTGCTTGCCCCCATCTATCCTCAGAGTTCGTACTGCTTGGTGACCTAAACTGGGATATGCTTAACATCCCGGCCATCCTACAATCTAAACTAGATGCCCTCAATCTCACACAAATTATCAAGGAACCTACCCGGTACAACCCTAAATCTGTAAACATGGGTACCCTCATGAATATCATCCTGACTAACATACCCTCTAAATACACCTCCGCTGTCTTCAACCAGGATCTCAGCGATCACTGCCTCATTGCCTGCGTCCGTAATGGGTACGTGGTCAAACGACCACCCCTCATCACTGTCAAACGCTCCCTAAAACACTTCAGCGAGCAGGCCTTTCTAATTGACCTGGCCCAGGTATCCTGGATGGATATTGACCTCATGATGTCAGTAGAGGATGCCTGGTTGTTCTTCAAAAGTGCTTTCCTCTCCATCTTAAATAAGCATGCCCCATTCAAAAAATTCAGAACTAAGAACAGATATAGCCCCTGGTTCACCCCAGACTTGACTGCTCTTGACCAGCACAAAAACATCCTGTGGCGTACTGCATTAGTATCGAACAGCGCCCGCGATATGCAACTTTTCAGGGAAGTCAGGAACCAATATACACAATCAGTTAGGAAAGCAAAGGCTAGCTTTTTCAAACAGAAATTTGCATCCTGTAGCACTAACTCAAAAAAGTTTTGGGACACTGTAAAGTCCATGGAGAATAAGAGCACCTCCTCCCAGCTACCCACTGCACTGAGGCTAGGAAACACTGTCACCACCGATAATCGAGAATCTACGAAATCTACGATAATCGAGAATTTCAAGAAGCGTTTTGCTATGGCTGGCCATGCTTTCCACCTGGCTACCCCTACCCCGGCCACCAACTTGCCCATGCCCCCCCCCCCCCCCCCCCCCCGCTTCTCCTTCACCCAAATTCAGATAGCTGATGTCCTGAAAGAGCTGCAAAATCTGGACCCCTACAAATCAGCTGGGCTTGACAATCTGGACCCTTTCTTTCTAAAACTAGCCGCCGAAATTGTCGCAACCCATATTACTAGTCTGTTCAACCTCTCTTTGAGATCCCCAGAAATTGGAAAGCTGCCGCGGTCATCCCCCTCTTCAAAGGGGGTGACACTCTAGATCCAAACTGTTACAGACCTATTTCCATCCAGCACTGCCTTTCGAAAGTATTTGAAAGCCAAGTTAACTAACAGATCACCGAGCATTTCGAATCCCACCGTACCTTCTCCGCTATGCAATCTGGTTTCCGAGCTGGTCATGGGTGCACCTCAGCCACGCTCAAGGTCCTAAACGATACAATAACTGCGATCGATAAAAGACAGCACTGTGCAGCCGTGTTCATCAACCTGGCCAAGGCTTTTGACTCTGTCAATCACCGCATTCTTATTGGCAGACTAAATAGCCTTGGTTTCTCTGTGTATATCAATGATGTCGCTCTTGCTGCTGGTGACTCTCAGATCCACCTCTACGCAGACAACACCATTTTGTATACATCTGGCCCTTCATTGGACACTGTGTTAACAAACCTCCAAATGAGCTTCAATGCCATACAACACTCCTTTCGTGGCCTCCAACTGCTCTTAAACGCTAGTAAAATTAAATGCATGCTCTTCAATCGAATGCTGCTTGCACCCGCTCGCTCGACTAGAATCACTACTCTCGGTGGGTCTGACTTAGAATATGTGGACAACTACAAATACCTAGGTGTCTGGTTAAACCGTAAACTCTCCTTCCAGACTCACATTAAGCATCTCCAATCCAAAGTTAAATCTAGAATCGGCTTCCTATTTCGCAACAAAGCCTCCTCACTCATGCTGCTAAACATGCCCTCGTAAAACTGACTGTCCTACCAATCCTTGACTTCGGCGATGTCATTTACAAAATAGCTTCCAACACTCTACTCAGCAAATTGGATGTAGTCTATCACAGTGCCATCTGTTTTGTCACCAAAGCCCCATATAGAATATTTTGACTTAGAATATGTGGACAACTACAAATACCTAGGTGTCTGGTTAGACCGTAAACTTTACTTCCAGACTCACATTAAGCATATCACAGTGCCATCCGTTTTGTCACCAAAGCCCCATATACTACCCATCATTGTGACCTGTACGCTCTCGTTGGCTGGCCCTCACTACATATTCGTCGCCAAACCCACTGGCTCCAGGCCATCTATAAATCACTTCGAGGCAAATCCCTGACTTAGCTTAGATCATTGGTCACCATAGCAACACCCACCTGTAGTATGTGTTCCAGCAGGTATGTCTCACTGGTCATCCCTAAAGCCAACACCTCCTTTGGCCGCCATTCCTTCCAGTTCTCTGCTGCAAATGACTGGGACGAACTGCAAAAATCTCTGAAGCTGGAGACCCTTATCTCCCTCACTACATTTAAGCATCAGTTGTCAGAGCAGCTTACCGATCACTGCACCTGTACACAGCCCATCTGTAATTAGCCCACCCAACTACCTCATCCCCATATTGTTATTTACATTGTTTTTTATTTTGCTCATTTGCACCCAGTATCTCTATTTGCACACACACTAAATTGTAATTATTTTGCACTATGACCTTTTTATTGCCTTACCTCCAGGGGCGGTGTGTTCATTAGGGCGATATGGGCGACGCACTGCCAAACGGGAAAAGGAAGGGATTTTTTTTCTAATCAATTATATCACGGCAACAGTAGTTATCAGTGTTCTAATCTAGACGTCTGATCTGCCACTAAATGTCCAATCAGGCTAAAGTTGTGCTTCAAATGTCCCCGCCCGTTTTGGGGCGATTTCAGTCAGGTTGAAAATCGCCCAGAAGTCTCTCATAGCCTCTAATGTAAAATCAATTTTTTTCAAATATCAGAGCTTTCAATACAATCTCTATGGGTTTCTGAGGGCTTGCACTTACGCGCTTTCGTCATACGTAACATAACCATGAACGTAACTAAGAAAAGAGCGGGTAGCCTCATCAATCAATTCACTATTACCGTCAAAATGGCTAGCCTTCAGTGCAACGCGATTGTCTCTTTGAAATAAGTTCCTTTTTGTCGGTGAACAAATCAAGATAAATTGGCAACGAAACAATTAGGACCTCCCAGACCAAATGTAATAATTCAACAGGTTTCTACTAAGCAGAGTCGTGAAAACTGTCTACGAGAATCGAGACGACCTCATAGAATGTTTTGAAGCCATTCGGACGGGTTCATTGGGTTCATTTGACTGGCTACGTGAGGATGCTACATGATGAAGATTTTATTTTTTTCCTGCGGCTTTTTCACAAAATCATGCCCCACGTCGACATTCTGTACCAGAAGCTACAGAAGAAGGACATCGATTTTTGTCTTTATCAAACGTGCCCTCGACAGCTTCACAAGCAGTGTGCAGGCCATAAGGTAAGATTAAACAATATCATTCGATCTTTCTCAATGTTCATTTTTACAAATCTATACAATTGGCCAGAATATGGTTGTTCATATTTACAAATCTATACAATTGGCCAGAATATGGTTGTTAATTTTTACAAAGCCATACAGATAGCTGTGTTTACCTTTTCTAGAAATTACTTTCAAATTCTGTTTTCAGGCAAAATGTCTATCACTGTTCATTTTCACAAATCTATACAAGAGGGCAGAATATGGAAGTCTATAAAAATGTCTTATTACCAATAACTTGCATCAATGTTTTCAGTAGCCTCTATCAAAAGCTCCTGCTTGCTTGTTGTGAATTATGCTCAGGTGCACATATTTCCAATTCAACCATGAGGCAAAAAATGTGGTAAAAGCTCTTGTTGATCCTGCAATCTGAACAAATACCAAGATGCTGTATTTTCAGCTGATATTTCATTTGTTTATGGAAATGCATATTGTTTATGCAGTGTTGAGGAATGTGAAAGAACACCCTTGATTATTTTTACTGTGATAACTTATTTTGATTTTGTAAGCCAACACTTTTGAGATCAGTCAATAAATGCTTCTGGTATTGACTTATATGCTGCCCCTGTCTTCATGTTGTTGCTGGACATATCTTTTTAAAAATGTGTGTAGGTCACCTAAATCATCAGAAAAATTGCCCCCCCTGAGAATTTTTTCAGGAGCCGCCACTGCTTACCTCCATAGCTTACTACATTTGCACACACTGTATATAGATTTTCTATTGTTTTATTGACTGTACGTTTTGTTTATTCCATATGTAACTCTGTGTTGTTGTTGTTTTTAATCGCACTGCTTTGCTTTATCTTGGCCAGGTCGCAGTTGTAAATGAGAACTTGTTCTCAACTGGCCTTAAAAAATAAAACTCTATCTCTATCCACCCAACAGGAAAGCAGTTCTACATCAAACCACCCAAAAGGTAAGCAGCTCCAAGACTCTCCATCCAACAGGAACCAGCTCTAACTATATCCACCCAACAGGAAACCAGCTCTAACTCTATCCACCCAACAGGAAACCAGCTCTAATTCTATCCACCCAACAGGAAACCAGCTCTAACTACATCCACCCAACAGGAAACCAGCTCTAATTCTATCCACCCAACAGGAAACCAGCTCTAACTCTATCCACCCAACAGGAAACCAGCTCTAACTATATCCACCAAACAGGAAACCAGTCAGCTCGAACTATATCCACCCAACAGGAAACCAGCTCTAACTCTATCCACCCAAATGGAAACCAGCTCTAACTCTATCCACCCAACAGGAAACCAGCTCTAACTATATCCACCCAACAGGAAACCAGCCAGCTCTAACTCTATCCACCCAACAGGAAACAAGCTCTAACTCTATCCACCCAACAGGAAACCAGCTCTAACTCTATCCACCCAACAGGAAACCAGCTCTAACTATATCCACCCAACAGGAAACCAGATCTAACTATATCCACCCAACAGGAAACCAGCTCTAACTCTATCCACCCAACAGGAAACCAGCTCTAACTATATCCACCAAACAGGAAACCAACCAGCTCTAACTATATCCACCCAACAGGAAACCAACCAGCTCTAACTATATCCATCCAACAGGAAACCAGCTCTAACTCTATCCACCGAACAGGAAACCAGCTCTAACTCTATCCACCCAACAGAAAACCAGCTTTAACTCTATTCGTCCAACAGGAAACCAGCTCTAACTATATCCAACCAACAGGAAACCAGCTCTAACTATATCCACCAAACAGGAAACCAACCAGCTCTAACTATATCCACCCAACAGGAAACCAACCAGCTCTAACTATATCCATCCAACAGGAAACCAGCTCTAACTCTATCCACCGAACAGGAAACCAGCTCTAACTCTATCCACCCAACAGAAAACCAGCTTTAACTCTATTCGTCCAACAGGAAACCAGCTCTAACTATATCCAACCAACAGGAAACCAGCTCTAACTATATCAACCCAACAGGAAACAAACCAGCTCTAACTCTATTCATCCAACAGAAAACCAGCTCTAACTCTATCCACCCAACAGGAAACCAGCTCTAACTATATCCACCCAACAGGAAACCAGCTCTAACTCTATCCACCCAAATGGAAACCAGCTCTAACTCTATCCACCCAACAGGAAACCAGCTCTAACTATATCCACCCAACAGGAAACCAGCCAGCTCTAACTCTATCCACCCAACAGGAAACAAGCTCTAACTATATCCACCCAACAGGAAACCAGCTCTAAATCTATCCACCCAACAGGAAACCAGCTCTAAATCTATCCACCCAACAGGAAACCAGCTCTAACTATATCCACCCAACAGGAAACCAGCTCTAACTATATCCACCCAACAGGAAACCAGCTCTAAATCTATCCACCCAACAGGAAACCAGCTCTAACTATATCCACCCAACAGGAAACCAGCCAGCTCTAACTCTATCCACCCAACAGGAAACCAGCTCTAACTATATCCACCCAAATGGAAACCAGCTTTAAATCTATCCACCCAACAGGAAACCAGCTCTAAATCTATCCACCCAACAGGAAACCAGCTCTAAATCTATCCACCCAACAGGAAACCAGCTCTAACTATATCCACCCAACAGGAAACCAGCCAGCTCTAACTCTATCCACCCAACAGGAAACCAGCTCTAACTATATCCACCCAAATGGAAACCAGCTTTAAATCTATCCACCCAACAGGAAACCAGCTCTAAATCTATCCACCCAACAGGAAACCAGCTCTAAATCTATCCACCCAACAGGAAACCAGCTCTAAATCTATCCACCCAACAGGAAACCAGCTCTAACTATATCCACCCAACAGGAAACCAGCTCTAAATCTATCCACCCATTTACATTTACATTTTAGTCATTTAGCAGACGTTCTTATCCAGAGCGACTCACAGGAGCAATTAGGGTTAAGTGCCTTGCTCAAGGGCACATTTACGTCATTTAGCAGACGCTCTTATCCAGAGCGACTACAAATTGGTGCATTCACCCTATAGCCAGTGGGATAACCACTTTACAATTATACTTTCTTTTTTTTTCTTTTTTGGGGGGGGGGGGGGGGTAGAAGGATTACTCTATCCTATCCCAGGTGTTCCTTAAAGAGGTGGGGTTTCAAATGTCTCCGAAAGGTGGTGAGTGACTCCGCTGTCCTGGCGTCGTGAGGGAGCTTGTTCCACCATTGGGGTGCCAGAGCAGCGAACAGCTTTGACTGGGCTGAGCGGGAACTATGCTTCCGCAGAGGAAGGGGAGCCAGCAGGCCAGAGGTGGATGAACGCAATGCCCTCGCCTGGGTGTAGGGACTGATCAGAGCCTGAAGGTACGGAGGTGCCGTTCCCCTCACTGCTCCATAGGCAAGCACCATGGTCTTGTAACGGACCCAACAGGAAACCAGCTCTAAATCTATCCACCCAACAGGGAACCAGCTCTAACTCTATCCACCCAACAGGGAACCAGCTCTAACTCTATCCACCCAACAGGAAACCAGCTCTAAATCTATCCACCCAACAGGAAACCAGCTCTAAATCTATCCACCCAACAGTAAACCAGCTCTAACTCTATTCACCCAACAGGAAACCAGCTCTAACTCTATTCACCCAACAGGAAACCAGCTCTAACTATATCCACCCAACAGGAAACCAGCTCTAACTCGATCAGCCCAACAGGAAACCAGCTCTAACTCTATTCACCCAACAGGAAACCAGCTCTAACTCTATCCACCTAACAGGAAACCAGCTCTAAATCTATCCACCCAACAGGAAACCAGCTCTAACTCTATCCACCCAACAGGAAATAAGCTCTAAATCTATCCAACCAACAGGAAAACAGCTCTAACTCTATTCACCCAACAGGAAACCAGCTCTAACTCTATCCACCCAAAAGGAAACCAGCTATAACTATATCCACCCAAAAGGAAACCTGCTCTAACTATATCCACCCAACAGGAAACCAGCTCTAACTATATCCACCCAACAGGAAACCAGCTCTAACTATATCCACCCAACATGAAAACAGCTTTAACTCTATCCACCCAACAGGAAACCAGCTCTAAATCTATCCACCCAACAGGAAACCAGCTCTAAATCTATCCACCCAACAGGAAACCAGCCAGCTCTAACTCTATCCACCCAACAGGAAACCAGCCAGCTCTAACTCTACCCACCCAACAGGAAACCAGCTCTAACTCTATCCACCCAACAGGAAACGAGCTCTAAATCTATCCACCCAACAGGAAACCAGCTCTAACTCTATTCACCCAACAGGAAACCAGCTCTAACTATATCCACCCAACAGGAAACCAGCTCTAACTCTATTCACCCAACAGGAAACCAGCTCTAACTCTATCCACCTAACAGGAAACCAGCTCTAAATCTATCCACCCAACAGGAAACCAGCTCTAACTCTATCCACCCAACAGGAAATATGCTCTAAATCTATCCCAACCAACAGGAAACAGCTCTAACTCTATTCACCCAACAGGAAAACCAGCTCCTAAACTCTATCCACCCAAAAGGAAACCAGCTTCGTAACTATATCCACCAAAGGAAACCATGACTCTAACTATATCCACCCAACAGGAAACCAGCTCTAACTATATCCACCCAACAGGAAACCAGCTCTAACAATATACCACCCAAACATGAAAAACAGCGTTTAACTCTATCCACCCAACACGGAAACCACAGCTCTAAAATCTATCCACCCAAACAGGAAACCAGCTCTAAATCTATCCACACACAGGAAAAACCAGCTAAATCCAAACAGGAAACCAGACAGATCTAACTTATCCACCCAAACAGGAAACCAGCCATCTCTAACTCATCCAGCCGCAAACAGGAAACCCCAGCTCTAACTCTATCCACCCAACAGGAAACCAGCTCTAACTCTATCCACCCAACAGGAACGAGCTCTAAACTCTCTTCCACCCAACAGGAAACCAGCTCTAACCTATTCACCCAACAGGAAACCACCAACAGGAACCGCTCTAACTATATCCACCCAACAGGAAACCAGCTCTAACTATATCCACCCAACAGGAAACCAGCTCTAACTATATCCACCCCAAAGGAAACCAGCTCTAAATTATCACTCAACAGGAAACCAGCTCTAACTATATCCACCCAACAGGAAACCAGCTCTAAATCTATCCACCCAACAGAAAACCAGCTCTAACTATATCCACCCAACAGGAAACCAGCTCTAACTCTATCCACCCAACAGGAAACCAGCTCTAACTATATCCACCCAACAGGAAACCAGCTCTAACTATATCCACCCAACAGGAAACCAGCTCTAACTATATCCACCCAACAGGAAACCAGCTCTAACTATATCCACCCAACAGGAAACCAGCTCTAACTATATCCACCCAACAGGAAACCAGCTCTAACTATATCCACCCAACAGGAAACCAGCTCTAAATCTATCCACCCAACAGGAAACCAGCTCTAACTCTATCCACCCAACAGGAAACCAGCTCTAACTATATCCACCCAACAGGAAACCAGCTCTAACTCTATCCACCCAACAGGAAACCAGCTCTAACTATATCCACCCAACAGGAAACCAGCTCTAACTCTATTCACCCAACAGGAAACCAGCTCTAACTCTATCCACCCAACAGGAAACCAGCTCTAACTATATCCACCCAACAGGAAACCAGCTCTAACTCTATTCACCCAACAGGAAACCAGCTCTAACTATATCCACCCAACAGGAAGCCAGCTCTAACTCTATTCACCCAACAGGAAACCAGCTCTAACTCTATCCACCCAACAGGAAACCAGCTCTAACTCTATTCACCCAACAGGAAACCAGCTCTAACTCTATTCACCCAACAGGAAACCAGCTCTAACTATATCCACCCAACAGGAAACCAGCTCTAACTCTATTCACCCAACAGGAAACCAGCTCTAACTCTATCCACCCAACAGGAAACCAGCTCTAACTCTATTCACCCAACAGGAAACCAGCTCTAACTCTATTCACCCAACAGGAAACCAGCTCTAAATCTATCCACCCAACAGGAACCAGCTCTAACTCTATTCACCCAACAGGAAACCAGCTCTAACTCTATCCACCCAACAGGAAACCAGCTCTAACTATATCCACCCAATTTGAAACCAGCTCTAACTATATCCACCCAACAGGAAACCAGCTCTAACTATATCCACCCAACAGGAAACCAGCTCTAACTATATCCACCCAATAGGAAACCAGCTCTAAATCTATCCACCCAACAGGAAACCAGCTCTAACTCTATTCACCCATCAGGAAACCAGCTCTAACTATATCCACCCAACAGGAAACCAGCTCTAAATCTATCCACCCAACAGGAAACCAACCAGCTCTAACTATATCCACCCAACAGGAAACCAACCAGCTCTAACTCTATCCACCCAACAGGAAACCAGCTCTAACTCTATCCACCGAACAGGAAACCAACCAGCTCTAACTAAATCCACCCAACAGGAAACCAGCTCTAACTCTATCCACCCAACAGGAAACCAGCTCAAACTATATCCACCCAACAGGAAACCAGCCAGCTCTAATTCTATCTACCCAATAGGGAACCAGCTCTAACTATATCCACCCAACCGGAACACACACACTCTGTGAACACACATATCCTCTTAACTAAGGTTTGAGATGGGTCAAAAAACAGCCAATAGTAGAGATGGGTCAACAAACAGCAAATAGGAAAATGTGTTTAGAGTTGCTGTGTGTGGATTAGTGTGGGTGTGTGCTTGTGTGTGTGCGTGTGTGTGTGTGTTTTTGTGCGTTATAACCTATAAGCGTCTTTACCCTCTGCCTCAGGGGAAGTTAACTAATTGTCACAGCAGGAGTTTTAACTCTTTACCAAACACATGCACGGACAACCACACACAAGTACACAAATGCACGCACACCCAGACATGTCGTCACACAGCAGAGCAGAGGTTGTGTCCTTGTATTAGAGGGGCAGAGAGCAGCAGTCTCTTGGAATAAAGAAGATTAACTCACACAGAGAGGGAACCCTGCTCATGGTCAATAATATTAACTCACACAGAGAGGGAACCCTGCTCATGGTCAATAATATTAACTCACACAGAGAGGGAACCCTGCTCATGGTCAATATATTAACTCACACAGAGAGGGAACCCTGCTCATGGTCAATAATATTAACTCACACAGAGAGGGAACCCTGCTCATGGTCAATAATATTAACTCACACAGAGAGGGAACCCTGCTCATGGTCAATAATATTAACTCACACAGAGAGGGAACCCTGCTCATGGTCAATAATATTAACTCACACACATCCTGTTGCTATTAACAGAGAGGGAACCCTGCTCATGGTCAATAATATTAACTCACACACATCCTGTTGCTATTAACAGAGAGGGAACCCTGCTCATGGTCAATAATATTAACTCACACACATCCTGTTGCTATTAACAGAGAGGGAACCCTGCTCATGGTCAATAATATTAACTCACACACATCCTGTTGCTATTAACAGAGAGGGAACCCTGCTCATGGTCAATAATATTAACTCACACACATCCTGTTGCTATTAACAGAGAGGGAACCCTGCTCATGGTCAATAATATTAACTCACACACATCCTGTTGCTATTAACAGAGAGGGAACCCTGCTCATGGTCAATAATATTAACTCACACACATCCTGTTGCTAATAACAGAGAGGGAACCCTGCTCATGGTCAATAATAGTTACAGTAATCTGTGACAGCAGCCATGAGTCCAGGACTCTAGAATATTCTAGATCAACACCTGAAAGACACTAAGGCATAGATTCAATCAGACCAAGCATTAACCGGTGATAGCAGACACCTGCATAGCGGATGTTTTGGGGCCTGCGTTGGAGCTGTGAAATCGGTGAGGAGCTGCTCTTGCAATTATTGTCAAGCCACATCCATTCCACTCCTGTTAGAAGTTCAGAATGAGAAAGTGTAGGCTATCTAGAAATAATTACACGCAAATTGAAAATCATTCAACTAAATAATGAGGATTTCTATCAGCCTAATGGAGGTGTAGATTACATCAAACATTCCAGTGCTAAAACTTGTCAACAAGGCTGCATGGGATTTCTGTCAATGTGACTCTGTGCAGCCAATGGCAATGTTGTGTTAAGTATAATGCTGGGAGCCACTTGTGGATTTGACAGCTCTAACACTGCCATAACCACCGCTATGCGGATGTTGACTAAAGCGGATCTGATTGGATAGAGGCCTAATACTACTAACCTTGATGTTGTATAAAGGTGTTTAACGGAGCAGTATTGTGCTCTAGCTAACCCTGTGTCCCTGTGCTCTAGCTAACCCTGTGTCCCTGTGCTCTAGCTAACCCTGTGTCCCTGTGCTCTAGCTAACCCTGCTCTAGCTAACCCTGCTCTAGCTAACCCCGTGTCCCTGTGCTCTAGCTAACCCCGTGTCCCTGTGCTCTAGCTAACCCCGTGTCCCTGTGCTCTAGCTAACCCCGTGTCCCTGTGCTCTAGCTAACCCTGTGTCCCTGTGCTCTAGCTAACCCTGTGTCCCTGTGCTCTAGCTAACCCTGTGTCCCTGTGCTCTAGCTAACCCTGTGTCCCTGTGCTCTAGCTAACCCTGTGTCCCTGTGCTCTAGCTAACCCTGTGTCCCTGTGCTCTAGCTAACCCCGTGTCCCTGTGCTCTAGCTAACCCTGTGTCCCTGTAGGGTCTGGATGTTTCCAGACATATATCTATTAATACAGCTTTAATTAAAAACACCACCATAACAGGTGTCTTGGTCACCACGGTAACAGGTCTGAGTCTACATGCCGGCAGATGGTGGGATCAGCAACCCGCTGCACCTGGCCTCTCTCACCAAGTCTCACCTCCCTCTCCTTCTCTCTCTTCCTTGCCCTCTCCCTGCCCTCCCCGTCCCGTCACTAACACTAACCCTCACCCAGCCCCGAAGGATTTAAACAACTACAGCCAGAACACACCCAAAGTAACAGTCTCCATTCCCTTCTTTATCTAAAGTGAGGGTTAGGGTTAGAGGGTGCGATAGAGGAGAGGGGAAAGGCACATGGAGGCGTACTCACCGGAGCGCAAGGAGGACTTGTTCATGGCGATGGTGACGCAGAGAGCAGAGCATGAGGCGAAATGAGATGGACGACAATCTGCTCGCTCCCGTCAGATGGCTTAACGAGGCGCGGTCTGGAGGCTAATTCCCCTGGGGGGGATTAGGAGTAGACTGGACACACAGACAACCCCTACACACTACCCCCTACACACTTATACTACACACTACACACTACCCCCTACACACTTATGCTACCCCTACACATGTATACTACACAATACACACTACCCCCTACACACTTATACTACACACTACATACTTTTCCCTGCCCTACCCACACTTCCCCTCCCCCTACACACTGCAGTCACACTGGGATAAATTAGTGTGCCAATCAGGGTTTCAAATGCTTGGCAAGAAGCATCAGAGGAGTTGACTATGGGTCTGAAAGCCAACCATTTTTGTTCCTGGGACAGAGCATCAAGACTGTCAAAAAAATTATAGTTGATTCAACATACAATTGTAAGGCAACCAGCTGCAAACAGATTTTGAGTTTGCTCAACAAAATGGCATTAAAGTTTATTCAAAGTACAATTATAAGGCAACCAGCTGCAAACGGATTGTGAGTTTGCTCAACGTTTCGGCATATAGCTAAACCAACATACATTCTCATGTTGAACTGTATGTTCACTCAGAAGTTTAGGTTGAGTGAACATACAATTCAACTTGAGAATGTATTCTACCTTATTTGCGTATTTCCCAGAGTAAAATGTAACTATTTTTGACAATATTTGTCATAAGGCCTGCTCTTAGGGTCTAGTTACACCCTAACGCAGTGGTCTGAAACTCCTGGTTTACAGGCCACATCAAGCCTACAACTCCTGATTTACAGGCCACATCAAGCCTACAACTCCTGGTTTACAGGCCACATCAAGCCTACAACTCCTGGTTTACAGGCCACATCAAGCCTACAACTCCTGGTTTACAGGCCACATCAAGCCTACAACTCCTGGTTTACAGGCCACATCAAGCCTACAACTCCTGGTTTACAGGCCACATCAAGACTACAAGTCACATTATGCTGGAATTCAGCCAGAATGAGGATATCCAACAATTGGAACTTTTAAGGCCAGGCACCACAGGCTGAAATTAAATTTTTGCATCTACCTATCAATTTTGGTGGTAGCTCAATTGGTAGAGCATGGCGCTTGTAACGCCAGGGTAGTGGGTTCGATCCCCGGGACCACCCATATGTAAAAATGTATGCACACATGACTGTAAGTCGCTTTGGATAAAAGCGTCTGCTAAATGGCATATTATTATTATTATATTATAATTTTGAGATTTGTTGATATTTTGGTCCATTAATATGAGTATTTTCAAAACGTAAACATACAATTATAATTTATATTTTCTTTAGTTTATCATACTACCGTCATCAACATTTTAATGAATTGTAACCAGTTTAAATTGGACATACATCAATAATTGTAAAGCTCACTACATTAAATTACACAATTTAAAAGCCCATTTCATAGAGAATGTTACATTTACATTTGACATTTTAGTCATTTAGCAGACGCTCTTATCCAGAGCGACTTACAGTTAGTGAATACATATTTTTATTTTATTTTTTACTGGCCCCCCGTGGGAACAAACTGGACTATATTTAGTAACTAACTTTGAAGAGATGGTGATTGGGTCTATGTAGGCGCTTGGTAGTCTAAATTCAGTGTACTTGTTGTTTAACTGCCATTGATTTGCGCTATATGCAAATATTTAATGAGATCTCGCTTAATTTGCATATTTAATCAAACATTTCGGAATAATTGGAATATAAAAAAGTATTATATTTGTCTACATTCAACTGGCAAAGTAGATTGTGATATGATTAAGAAAATAAAAAGACCTATGAGGGTGTAGTGCCTGTCCTTAATCACCCGATGGCTGGGAGATTAGGGAGATTGGTTATTGAGACTAACAAATCATATCAACTGGAACAGCCATCTCAGTAACGGGTGCAAAAAGTCCAACTACTAACAGATTGTATTAATTTAGAAAAATGTATGCCATTCATGTTTATGTAGCATAAGATTTATCAACCAATAAATGTACATGCAAAAACACAGGTATTGAAACAAACAATTCTGCAATAGAGCAGGTATATGCTGGGAAATATATTAATGTTGGGTGTGGTTTTGAGCAAACATACATTTGTAATTTTACTCAACAAGCTTGTTCAAATTGAGCTCACTTCAAGCAGCGTTTGTTGATCTAATGTATAATTGTAAGGCAACCAGCTGCAATAAGATTATGAGTTTGTTCAACATTTGGGCATATAGCTGAACCAACATACAGTCTTGCCTTCCAAAGGCAAACATGAATTTGTAATTTTACTCGAAAAGCTTTTTCAAATTCAGCTAACTTCGAGCAGAGTTTGTTGAATAAACCAAACTTTAACACATTAGCAAAATCATTTACATTTACATTTTAGTCATTTAGCAGACGCTCTTAACCAGAGTGACTTACAGGAGCAATTAGGGTTAAGTGCCTTGCTCAAGGGCACATTAACGTCATTTAGCAGACGCTCTTAGCCAGAGCGACTCACAAATTGGTGCGTTCACCCTATAGCCAGTGGGATAACCACTTTACAATTTGGGGGGGGGGGGGGGGGGGGGGTTAGAAGGAATACTTTATCCTATCCCAGGTATTCCTTAAAGAGGTGGGGTTTCAAATGTCTCCGGAAGGTGGTGAGTGACTCCGCTGTCCTGGCGTCGTGAGGGAGCTTGTTCCACCACTGGGGTGCCAGAGCAGCGAACAGTTTTGACTGGGCTGAGCGGGAGCTATGCTTCCGCAGAGGAAGGGGAGCCAGCAGGCCAGAGGTGGATGAACGCAATGTCCTCGTTTGGGTGTAGGGACTGATCAGAGCCTGAAGGTACAGAGGTGCCGTTCCCCTCACTGCTCCATAGGCAAGCACCATGGTCTTGTAGCGGATGCGAGCTTCAACTGGAAGCCAGTGGAGTGTGCGGAGGAGGGGGGTGACGTGAGAGAACTTGGGAAGGTTGAACACCAGACGGGCTGCGGCATTCTGGATGAGTTGTAGGGGTTTAATGGCACAGGCAGGGAGCCCAGCCAACAGCGAGTTGCAGTAGTCCAGACGGGAGATGACAAGTGCCTGGACCAGGACCTGCGCCGCTTCCTGTGTAAGGCAGGGTCGCACTCTCCGAATGTTGTAGAGCATGAACCTGCAGGAGCGGGTCACCGCCTTGATGTTGGCGGAGAACGACAGGGTGTTGTCCAGGGTCACGCCTAGGCTCTTCGCACTCTGGGAGGAGGACACAGCGGAGTTGTCAACCGTGATGGCGAGATCATGGAACGGGCAGTCCTTCCCCGGGAGGAAGAGCAGCTCCGTCTTGCCAGGGTTCAGCTTGAGGTGGTGATCCGTCATCCATACTGATATGTCTGCCAGACATGCAGAGATGCTATTCGCCACCTGGTTATCAGAAGGGGGAAAGGAGAAGATTAGTTGTGTATCATCAGCGTAGCAATGATAGGAAAGGCCATGTGAGGATATGACAGAGCCAAGTGACTTGGTGTATAGGGAGAAAAGGAGAGGGCCCAGAACCGATCCCTGGGGGACACCAGTGGTGAGAGCACGTGGTGCGGAGACAGCTTCCCGCCACGCCACTTGGTAGGAGCGACCGGTCAGGTAGGACGCAATCCAGGAGTGAGCCGCGCCGGAGATGCCCATCTCGGAGAGGGTGGAGAGGAGGATCTGATGGTTCACAGTATCAAAGGCAGCAGACAGGTCTAGAAGGACAAGAGCAGAGGAGAGAGAGTTAGCTTTAGCAGTGCGGAGGGTCTCCGTGACACAGAGAAGAACAGTCTCAGTTGAATGACCAGTCCTGAAACCTGATTGGTTTGGATCAAGAAGGTCATTCTGAGAGAGATAGCAGGAGAGTTGGCTAAAGACGGCACGCTCAATAGTTTTGGAAAGAAAAGAAAGAAGGGATACTGGTCTGTAGTTGTTGACATCAGTGGGGTCGAGTGTTGGTTTTTTGAGAAGGGGAGTAACTCTCGCTCTCTTGAAGACGGAAGGGACATGGCCAGCGGTCAAGGATGAGTTGATCAGCGAGGTGAGGTAGGGGAGAAGGTCACCGGAGATGGTCTGGAGAAGGGAGGAGGGGATGGGGTCAAGCGGGCAGGTTGTTGGGCGGCCTGCAGTCACAAGTCGCAGGATTTTATCTGGAGAGAGAGGGGAGAAAGAAGTCAAAGCATAGGGTAGGGCAGTGTGAGCAGGACCAGCAGTGTCATTAGACTTAACAAACGAGGATCGGATGTCGTCAACCTTCTTTTCACAGAGAGAGAGGAGGGGGGGGGGGGGGGGGGGGGGGGGGGATTCAGGAGGGAGGAAAATGTGGCAAAGAGCTTCCTAGGGTTAGAGGCAGATGCTTGGAATTTAGAGTGGTAGAAGGTGGCCTTAGCAGCAGAAACAGATGAAGAAAATGTAGAGAGGAGGGAGTGAAAAGATGCCAGGTCGGCAGGGAGTTTAGTTTTCTTCCATTTCCGCTCCGCTGCCCGGAGCTCTGTTCTGTGAGCTCGCAATGAGTCATCAAGCCACGGAGCTGGAGGGGAGGACCGAGCCGGCCGGGAGGATAGGGGACACAGAGAGTCAAAGGATGCAGAAAGGGAGGAGAGGAGGGTTGAGGAGGCAGAATCAGGAGATTGGAGGGAGAAGGATTGAGCAGAGGGAAGAGATGATAGGATGGAAGAGGAGAGAGTAGTGGGAGAGAGAGAGCGAAGGTTGCGGCGGCGCATTACCATCTGTGTAGGGGCAGAGTGAGTAGTGTGGGAGGAGAGTGAGAGAGAAAAGGAAACAAAGTAGTGGTCGGAGACTTGGAGGGGAGTTGCAGTGAGATTAGTAGAGGAGCAGCATCTAGTGAAGATGAGGTCAAGCGTATTGTATGTCTTGTCCTTCTGAAGTCCACTCAACTCACAGAATAAAGCAGTTGGTGAAGTTGTCTTTTCTACAGTGACCCTAAAGTGA